AGGGCATGGCAAAGGCAGAGGCTGAGGCAGGGGCACCCTTTCGACGGTCTGAGATGATGCCTATTAAACGTCAATTAATGTCACCTTGAACAACTGCAATTGCTGCAGTTGCCACAGCCACACACACGCACACACACACACACACACACACACACACACCCCTTTTGGACCCTTTCCTTTTCTTACCTCTGGATCCTCCTCCCTGCTGCCACAACCTCAACCGCTGATGCTGCTGCTGCTGCTGCTGGCACTGCTGCTGCTGCTGCCTCTGCCGCTGCCTCTTCTTAATTCTGATTTTGTTTTGATTGCGACGCGTGCAGGGCTTACAACCAGAAGAAGAAGGCAGGGCAGGGCAAAGAGGCAGGGAGGATGGGAGTGTGCCTGTTCCTTTGCCTTGTGCCTTTTGAAAGTGTTGCAACGCATTGCATGCAACAAGTGACCTTCGGGCCCATCCCTTTTCAATTGGATAATTGCAACAGCAAACGGCAGCGAACGTGCGAACGGGGTATGGAGGGGGAAATTGAGTGGAAAAGCTGTGACAGAATGACGGGAAATGAGACCCATGGAATGAAGGCCTTCCTTTAGACATTTTGTTGGATTTTTCTATTAAATTTTCCATCTCCATATTCAAAGAATTTTCTTTAGATTGGTTCGTTTTTGTCAACGCATTTTAATACAATTTTCCATCAATTCATTTATATCGTGTGTGGGGCACCAGACTTGAAGGATCTCAGCTTAATATTTCCAGTCTTTGATGAACATTATTTTAAGATATTTTCAAGCACTCAAAAATGTTCAAACAATGCCAAAAACAGAGGGAGCAAAACCCTGCCAGTCATTAAATCAATTTTGAAAATTTCAAAGGCCGCATGGGATTATATAATTTTCCAAATAATAAATGTAAATATGTATTTATGAACATAATATGTACAAATGTACATACATACATACATAGATACACACACACACACACACACACACACACACACACACACACACACACATTGAAATGGCGCTAAAATGTTCTCTTTATGTGGGCGCCTAAAATACAAGGACTAATCTTCGTTCTCTTGGACTTGAACTTTTGCCAGCAAAACGAAACAATATATAATAAAAAAAAAAATAAACTCAAGGACATTGTACTAGCCCCCTTCCAGCCCTTCGCAAACGCCTCCCCCCGCCCCACACCATCCCCTGTAACTAGGTTCCCTGTGAAACGAGCTTAAAGCATTTTTGGACAGATTCGTCCTCCCCTTCCCCTTCCCCTTCCCCTTCCCCTTTCCAACTGCTCGCATTTCGTTTGCGTTTTTCAATTTTTGGCAGCTTTTTGCGCTATTTTTTTTTGTTTTTTGGTTTTTTGTTGCTGCCTTCTAAGAAACGGCAGAGGGGCAACAGGAGCAGGACCAGCTTTTGTGTCCACTTCCTTTGCCGCTTCCTTCTTCCTTTTCGAACTTAAGCGCCGCCGTCGTCGTCGTCGTCACCATCTCTCTCCATCCACAATGGTTCCCCCGTTCGCCAGCCTGTAGGTGCGAGTGTGTGTGTGAGTGTGTGTCTGTTTGTGGGTTCTCTTCATTTTTTGGGCAACAGCGACGGCGACTGCGACGTCTTTTGGCCACTCACTCACTCACACTCACTCACTAGCTCACTCGCTCACTCACTGAAATTTTCGGCAATACATACCGCAATCGCATTTGCTTTCGTGCGTCTTCTTGCCTGCTCTTCCGTTTCGTGCTGCTGCTGCCTCTCTGCGGCTCTCCGGCTGCGCGAGTATGCGTGTGAGTGTGTTTGCTTGTGTGAGCGTCGTCGCGACTCTGTCTACGCGCATAGGAATTTGGGCAGCAGCGGCGACGACGATTGCCGAAAAAAAGAAGAATCCCAAAGGCATGTCGCTCGAGTGAAATTGTCGCAGCGCTGCTTCTGCTGCTGCTGCTATCTTCTTGCGTTGCTGCTTCTGTTAGCATGTGCTGCTTTCAGCTCTGCCGCTGCTGCTGCTGCTCTTTGATGGCGGCCTACTATTAGCTCTTCAAAATCCGCTGCTCGTTCCTCTGTTGAAAGAGAGGGTTGCAGTATTCTAATATATAATTTTAATACCTCTTTTAAATAGAAACTATATTATTTATATTTGTTGTTTATCATACAAAAGTATCGAAATTTGAATTGTATGACATTTGGCCTCGCTCATCACGCCAGCATTGGTGCTCTCTTTTTCTCTCATGCGAAATGGTCATCGCACTCAAGCAGCGACGACAGCAGCGTTTTCTCTTGCTACCCTTGAACAACTTGATCGTTATATACTGTATGAAAAGTTTGTAACCAAAAAAACCAGCTAGCGTTTCTTCTCTTCAAAATAAACAACTCCGAAATTAGCGTCGCACTCAAAATCCCAATTCAACAACGGCAGCGACAATCGCGAGAAAACTTAAGCAAGCAACGCTGCTGGTGTCGCTCTTGCTGTTGTATACGAATCATAATCGCACTCAAAGTTCAAAAGCTGCGCTCCCACTATATCTGAGTGCGTTGTACCGCAACATTTAGGCAGACATGGGGCAACATTTAGCAAAATGATTTTTGGCAACATTTGCTAACATTTAAAGGCCCATAGTATGTTGGTTTACCAACTCTCACTCGGAGTCGTTTTCAAGTTCAAGTTGCACCACGAAATAGAGGGTATAGAATCTTTCATACCAGCACTCCCCATTGAGTGTAATTGTTCTTTTCACAATAACAATCAGCTCGAAAACATAGCAAACACTCAAGGCGCGAGCGGCGCTCAAAATCACACTCAAAATCCGAAGCGACAGCGACGCCGGCGGCGGGCCGTACGGTGGTTGTGGAAAAATGTAAAAGGAGACACAGTGGACTTTTGCTGTCTCAATCTTTTCTCGGCCGCGGCAACGAAACAAACAGAAATTTGGTTAAATTTTTGGCGGTTGGCGCTTTTAACCGAATTCATAAAAGTAGTTCCGTTTCCGTTGATATTTGTTATCCCACAGTACCATCCTATCTGTAAGCAACGTAACGTCGCGGCTCCGCGTTCTGCTCCTTCACCAGTAAAAACAAACACAAAAAATCACCAAAAATATACCATTCGCAAATACAACAAAACAATTTGTTTAAACCAAAAACACACGAAAATACCGCCGCACACCGCAAAGACAAGCCATACCTATATTTTTTTTTTGTGTTTGTTGGTTTTGTTATCAGAAACTAAAAACGTATTCAAGTTTTTCCACGTTTCGCGCCACGGATCCGTCATTCATTCAGTCACGGGCGGCCCCTACTGTGTCCCGTCCCGTGCCCCTGTTCCCCATGTGCGCCTACGCCTGCGTCCCCAAATAATTAGAGAAAAACTTGAACAAAAACAACAAGACCCCCACACACACACACAGAGAGCGAGAGAGAGAGAGAGCCACCAGAGAGGAGCAGAAGCAGCAGCAAAGAGTCACAGAGAACGCGCGCGGGGGTGTAGTAAGTGCGAGAGGGGGGCCTTCTCCATACTGTTGTTCTTTTTTTTCGTGGCATATTTTTTGACTTTGACTTGTTTTTTTTCACAATATTTTTGGTTTTACTTTTGTTTGCTTTGTGCGTGTTTGAGTGTGTGGTGCGGGTGTAAGTGTGTGTGTGTGTGGGTGTGCAACAAAAAAATATATCTATCTATACAAAAATGTCCCCTAGATATTGCTTTTCCCATTTTTTTTTGTGTTATTTTTTGGTGCTGCCCCAAAAAAGATCGCCTGCCAAAAAATAAGTAAATTCATATTGAAGAACCTTTTTTTGTTTTTGGAAAACATTCCATTCTGTAAATTTGGCAATCACAAATAATAAAACTATCAAAACGCGCGTAAACACAAAATCAAAGTCAAAATCCACACACACACAAAAAACCAACAGCAGCAGCAACAGCAAACACACAAAAAAAATTCGGCACTCTGACATCATCTGCGCTCTCCTCCCCACACGCCCCTTACCACTACTACTCTACTCTGCACAGCTGCCCCTGCCCGTCCCTGCCCCACTGCACGACACTGCCGACAAGAAAACATCAAAAATTAAAACACAAGAAATATATAGCAACAAAAGCAAGAGCAAGAGCAACAGCAACAGCAACTAAATGTAAGCCACCAGAAAGAAACGAAACAAAACAAAAGCAGAAAAGCAGCAGCAAAAAAATTTCCCCATTTTTGGGCACATTTTTTTTTTGGAGACCATATGCGAGAAGTGGTACTTTTTTAACACACTCACGGGTATATAGGGAAAGAGGGAGAGTGATTGTTGGCAGGGGGGATCCAAGATCAAAGTCATCAGCTTTTGGGGACAGCGCCAGCAGCAGCAGCCAAAAAAAAGCTCTCGCTCTCACGCATAAATCTCTTCTAATGGTCCACCACCACCACCGTCCCACCAATAGTCAATAGCATAGCCCAGTTCTCTCGATGTCTTCTCTCCCTCTCGCGAGTAGCTTGATGACGAAAGCAAACAGCAGTGTGTATGTGTGTGTGTTTGTGTATGTGCCAGCAATGACAGCAAAAAAAGAAAGCCGGCCGGCCGGCGATCTCCCAGCTGTTTTAGTGGGTGCAAAACAGAAGAAAAAGCTGTGCCTGCGTGTCGGTGCCTTTACCAAAAGAATCCTTCCTATCTCGACTCCCTCTTCCTCTCGCTCTTCATCTCTACCTCTCTCTGTCGCGGAAAATCTCGCAGCCATAAGCTTAAGACTACAAACATTTTGCTGACGGCCATCCAAAAACTAACCACACTTTTCCACTTAACACCATTCTCTTTCACAGATTATTCTTCCCTTTTTGGCTCAACTGACACCACATATAAAAACAACAACAACAAAATCCTAAAAGAAAACCAATTTTTGTTTGGAACTCTCTCTCCCAAGGAAAACTAAATTTGAGCGCACAAAAACCACAACGTAAAAATTGTAACAAAATTCAACAACCAAAAACGGTTTTCAACAAATTAAACAACGAACACAAAACAAAACGGGAAACGGTGTAAAGACCCCAAACAGAAAATCAATAAGTAAAACATAAGAAATGCTAACGCGACACCACTAAAAAATCAAATATATTTCAAACAAAGAAACGCCAGACCCCTGACCAAACCAAAAGTTTTTCCGGGCTCAGAAAAAGATTTGTTTCTACGACCAATAATAACAAAAAGCAAGCAAAAAAAGAGTAATCGTCCAGGACATGTGTGAATCGAGTAATTGAGCGAGAAAAAAGCAAAGAGCAAAAAAAGTTCCATCATTCCATCCTCCTCCCACCCAACAACAAAACAAAACCACATGAAAAACACGGGGAAAAGTAAAGAAAAAAGAGAAAGTGAAGACTAAGAGTGAGAGTAAGAGTAAGAAAGGTATTTTTAAAGCTCTTTTCGAATCAAAGTAAAGCAAAGCAAAGCAAAGCAACGCAAATCAACCCTCCTGCAAGCCAAGCCCCGAAATTCAGAAATTCTAAAGTGCTCCTCCCCAAGAAATAAATTTCGGTTTTCACATCGTTTAGGCAGAGAAGAAACAAACACACACGAAAAAAAAAACATAATTATTGCTATAAAGACTACTTTATATATCGTATATCGTATATCGTATATAAACGCGTGCTAAGCCAAAGCCCGGAAAGTCGATCAAACAAATCCAAGTCCCTCGTTAAGCCAACAAAAAAGAATAAACAACAAAACGAAAGCAGCAAACATGGCATCCGAATTGGATCAATTCGCCGACTTGGAGCTATCGAAGGAGGATCGCGAACAGATCTTCGATCCGCCATTGGATCGGCAGCAGTTGGAAGGTGCTGGCACCTCAAGGTATGTAACTATCAAATCACAAGGATACATAAAACATCCTCTATCTGCCATCTCTATGCCAAGAACCTAAAACCATACCCATCTACTCGTACTATCACTGAATTCCCCACCCATTCAAATACCCCCCCCCAACACCATAAACTGTAAACTGTAGATTTGTTTGTGTAGTTTTGTTTGTGTGATGCTTTGTAGCTTTGCCACCCACAAGAACTCAAGGATATACCACCAGGCCCTACTCCTTGCTCCTTGCTCCCCACTCCCATTCTCCCTCCCTGCCAGAGTACTTGAGACGGACGCAACAAAAAATGGCGGCAACCAATTCGTTTGCGCTGCCCACAAAAATCTACTCTACTCTGTGTCTCTGTAAGCTAACAAAGGGGGAAGGAAGGATAGGGATTGGTCTTTCTGGCCAATCCACAATTGCACAAATTATCACGCCAAATAACATGAAGCTTGCCCTTCGCTCGCAACAACTCCTTTTGGACATACAACGCTGCTAAATAGCAGCTAATTTCCTGTGATAAATTGGGCATATCACCCAGTGGCATGCAGCAGCAGCAGCAGCAGCAGCAGTAGCAGCAGCGGCGGTAAAAAAAGGCTCTCAGTGCAAGAAAAAAGACCACGAAAGATCCTCCTCATCCTCTGACCCTCATCAACGTTTCCCTCAAGGCTCAAGTGGTGTAAGCAAACACTGGAAGGAGCAGCCCCAGCAGCAGCAGCGGCAGCCCTAGGAACTGAACGGAACTCTCACCTCCAAGTAGGGTGGTGCAGGGAAGGGGAGGGCAGGGCAGTGCGAAACTATCATCATTGTCACATAAAAACCAAAGCCCGGAGACCCCAAGGGTCTCTCTCTCTCTCTCTCTCTCTCTCTCTATCTGCCAAAACAGTAGCTCTACCTGCATCTAAGCTCTCACCCTTTTTTGATGCTCCTTCCCCGAGATGCCTGAGGAGTCTTCCTTCCTGATCTGACAAAAATTGATATACTTGCCACACCGCACGCACACACGCTGGACTCTGGACGTGGAATCGAGTTCAAATAGGGTGCGAAGAGCGATCAATGGATGGACAGAATGGGGGAATGGGAATTGTCCAACTCAAACCAAACTTCGACCCAAATCTGTTGAGGCTTTCAGCTCAGCTTCCAAGTGCTAAAGAAAATGTTTATCCAAGACCTAAACAGATTATTTCTTCGCTTCGCCATCCCCAAGAAGGCGCTGTCCAAGTGAATGGTTGAATGGTTGAATGGTTCCTGTTGTAACTATGGAGAAGATCAGCTTTGATCCATTGAAGAAAGTATTTTTCGAGCATCATGCACACGACATGCAAGCAATCGCCTAACCTTTAAAGGGTAAAAGATCCCTAGACAATGCCCGAATGCAGCACAGCAGAAATCATCACAGTAAAAACTAGAGCAATCTTATAAACACTACATGTTGAGCCAAAGAAAGAGCTTTATCTGTGAGAGCTTTGCGCTCAGCGGTAAAGCGCATTGCTAGGCACTTATCACGCCTGTGGTCGCTCCCAGGACTCTTTCTCTCTCTTTGTCTAATGCCGTTTAGATGTGCCTCGCTCTCGCTCTGCCTGTGGCTGTGTGTTGGTGTGTCTGTCGGGGGCTGCTGCCACAGCTTGTTGCGTGTTAAGCCGCTTGTTGCAACAACGGCTAAGCTGCTAGGCAAACCGAGCCGAGTAGCAACAGCACAAAACAAAAATCCTTACGAATTTCTTTGAAGGAATTCAAAGCCAACAAAAAGAAAACAATTTAAAAAAAAAACGAAAAAAAAAAAAGAATCTCACACACCAAGAAAAGAGAAGCAGGGAAACAAGAGAGACACACAAAGATATAGAAATATATATATACGAAGAGAGAGAGAGAGAGAGAGAGAGAGGCAGAGAGAGAGAGTGAGAGAATGAAATCGTTTTTCTGTAGCATTTGGTTTAATCCTCCAAAGGAAACATGCCGCTTGCCACAGGAGGCTTTCTGCTTCTGCTTCTGCTTCTGCTTTAGGTTTTTGTGCTTAGAAAAAAGGGAAGGGTTCAGTGTTGTATCTTTGAGATCTTCTCATACACTTCTATATCGTTGAGTTGTGCATTGGTGTGTGTATGCCCCTCATATGATGATCAGGTTTCCTCAGTGGAACATTTTTTGTTTTGCTTTGAGTTGGAGGAAATATGATTTTGGCCTTTTTTTTTTTTTTGTTAGGTTTAGAAGGGGCTTTCCCTTGCCTCCTCCCCATCCACGATCCGTACTGGCCTCAGCTTCTGTTCAGCGTTCTGTTTTTTTGCTTTGTATTTTCTAGGCAGAAACACGTTTATCATATTTCCGCTGAGCGTTCGCCTCTCTCGCTCTCTCTCTCTCTGCGAGTGCTCAAACATTTTTTAATTATACATATGAAGGATGCTGCTTTGGTGGCAGCCTTTTGCCATTATATTTCCATCTGTAGTTCTGTGTGTCCATCTAATGTTTGTTCACTTGGCAGACAAACGCCTGTGACGCCTGTGGATGGAGGGGGGGACTGAGGCTTCGAGACTCTGAGGCCCTGGAAGAGCCAGCCAGCCCAGTCGTCAGTCGTCAGTCGTTTGCCAATTTGTCGTCCATCTACCCTGCCTCCCATCTAATCTCTCTCTCTCTGTCGCTCAACCCTTTTTCATGCCTGGCATCTGTGCTGTATCTTGTATCTGGGTATCTGTTGTATCTGTTGTATCGCTTGCCACTTAGGCGCTTGTTTGAGCACCTTCTCGCACGCTCGCTCCCCTTCTAAGAAGGTTTTTTGTTTTGTTTTTTTTTGTTTTTGGGAAATTTTTGGAAGCAAATTTGATTCCCATCGATTATCAGGCAGGAGGCAGGAGGCTGGAGGCTGGAGGCTGCTGCTGCTTCCTGTTCCGCGTCCTTGCTCGCCTTTTGCTTTTGATTGACAGTCAAATTAGTAGAAGGATCCTTTCAGCTCTGCGGCCAACGAGTATTTTCACTGCACAGCTCTGTTTTTTGTTTGGGGGTAGGATCTCGGATCTCGGATCTCGTTTCTATGTAGATCCTGACAGAATCTAAGCAAATTTCTGCTACTGCTGCTACTCCTGTGGCAGCTGTGGCTGTGCTTCGAGGCCTGACCTTGGTCCATTGCTTGGCAACCCATTCATTCCTTCATTCCACTCTCCGTCCTCAATCCTTTCCCTGTCGTTCGCCCCCGCCTTTGTTTAGCAAGCAAATAAATACAAAACGAAGCTGCAAATACTCTTACAACTAATTCGAATCAATTTCATAGCTGGAATATTGAAACAGATAAGAAAAGTGAAGGAATATCCGCGATTGCCATGGAATAGTTCGATCTCATTATGGTTTCTATGCCCGCTCTTCACCCGTTTCACTCCACACTCCAGAGATTTATTTCTGTGTGCTTAAGCAGCACATAAACCTCCATGCTTTATAGAGAATCAAAACGTTTTGAATGAAATCAAGTACTGGAGGGGCCACAGACAGACGCTGCAGACGGTGGAGGAGGAGACTCCTCTGCTCTGACAGTGGGACAGAGAGTCGAGTCGAGTCGACTCGGCGGACACTTACCTACATTTTGGGCTGCCCTGCCCGAATTGTGGTTGGTATTTGTTGCCCCATATTGTTCGTGGTGGATCTTGCCAGCGGAAGGGCAGAAGGACACCCGAATTCTGATTTGGACTCTGGAGGCAAACAGGATGCAAATGTTTTTCTGTGTGAGGGCAGGTAGGCGGGTAGCGTAGCCCGTGGAGAGTTCTTCTGTGTGTGTGTGTGTGTGTGTGTGTCGATGTCAGGTAGGAGCAAAGTGTGGTAGCGTAGAGAGTGGAGAGTGGAGAGTGAAGAGAGAGAGGTAGTCTTGGCCTGCCCTAATTCCAATATGCTGTAATCACACACACGCAGTTCGTATTTCGGAATCGAATCTGGAAATGACACACAGAACACCGAAAGAAAAGAAGCTGGGGAAAAGATGCAATGACTTGGGGCACCGCTTTTGGAATTAGATTGTTAGATATCGATCCTGAAAAGTGCAGTTTGTTATCGTTATCGGATGCACTCCACTCTCTCTCTCTTTCCCTCTGCCTGTTTGTGCCTATCTGTTTCAAAGTTATCGCTTATCAAGGTATCGATCGTGTGGCATCTAATTGTTGAACGATTGCTAAGTCTCTCTTGCTCTCCCCAGCTCCATCTCTCATGTCTCGCATTCCGCTCTCTCTCTCTCTCTCTCCCAGTCTCTCTTGATCTTGCTCTCTCTTAGTGGCATCACATTCTTGGCCTGTTGTTTCTTTGTTGTTTAACTACATTTTTGTGTGCTCCTTTTTGAGTTTGTGTTCATTAGAAATTTCCAAGAATTTCACAGCGACAACGACACACACACACACACATACACAGGGATGAGTATGTGTGCATCTGGATCTGTGTCTGAAGATTCGTGTTACTGCTGGCTTAGTTTTTCAAACACACCAAAAGCAAAAGCAAAAGTAAAACACGAAATACGCTGCCAGAGGAAAGGAAGGCATAGGGCACAGGCACTGGCACTGGCACTGGCACTTGAGCAGGCAGGGAGAGGCATGCAGGACTGGAGATGCATAGATGGTGCGATCCGATGCGATGCGATGACAGTGAGGTAGTGGGCACACATCCCGGGACCAGGAGGCTGCGTCGGCAGAATCTCTCTCTCTCTCGCTGTGTGTGTGTGTGTTTGGAAGAAGGGTTGCCACCGTCGTCGGGGCTTCCTTTTCCTCCTTTTTTTGTTTGTAAGGTTTTAGAGGTGGCTTTGGCTATGGTGTTCCTTCATTTTAAAACGAAATGAAACGAACATCATCATGATGTTTGCGAGTTTCCTCTCCGTCCAACTGTTCTTACCCACACAGGACTTGGACTTGGACTTGGACTTTCTTTACCCATCCCCATGCCATGCCATGCCATACCATAACCATACCCGTTATTTCGCTGGCGCGATCACTTTCTTTTCGCGAGTGGCAGCTGCTGCAAGTCCCTGCCGCGTGTGATC